ACATTGAACCTTATGGGAAAATTTGATTCGGTTCACGACCAATTCGGTTCGCAACCAGAATCATGGAACGAATTAAGTTCGTGAACCGAGGTACCACTGTATGTGCTTTCCAGTCTGCCGTTGCTTTCAGTAGGTAGAAGTCTTTCCTACTGAGTGTCCTCCCAGTGGCTAACCGTTTGTTGCTCACTTAAAGGAGGCTCCCCCTCCAACTGACTGTTTACTACTGAAGGGCATAGCTGAAGAAAAAGGGGAAGATGGAATTACCCCCCCCCCACAAGTGCTGTGTCTTCTGCCTGTTCCTATCCAGATCACACTTGACGGAGCTGTTCTAAAATAAACACAAATACACACAGACAAATGCTTACAAACAGAAAATGGATTGGATAGGTATAGTCACATAGACTAGAAATTGCCTGTACTCGCACCCTTTCAGAGAGTCAGCTGGCGGAAATTCAAACTTTATTTTCAAACTGACTTATGCAGAATTTTCTGTATACCTGGATCCATTCTGCACCTGCCCTGGGCTCGCCAGATTAAAATTCTCCCAAGGAATTTTTATCTTCAAAACAGGTTCAGAATCGAAGAGGAAAAGGGAAGAGGCAGAAACCACAAGACTGGAAAAGTGGCAGAAATGCATGCAAGTGATTGACTCCAATCCGAGTCATGGCACCAAACTGTTGTGGCCACAACCTGACTCACTTAAATCAACCAGATCACTTTGAAAATACCACATAAGTTTATTAAGCATGCAAACAACTCCAGCAAAGCATTGGCAGCTTGCCAAGCAGAGCAAAAGCAGAACCACAGCTTATACCACCTTTGGCCTACTATATTACAAAGACAAGACAAAGAAAAAGGCAGACATAGGGAATTTACAACAGGACGGAATGTTTTTGCTGAGGCGCTTTGTGTGAGATGGGCTGCTATATAAATGTGACAAATAAATAAATAAATAAACCCATCTGGGTGACCTTATTATTATTTATCCCTTCCTACTGGGTCAGCAAGCTAGCTATATAGATAGTCCTTGCTTACTGACCACTTGTTTAGCGACTGAAGTTATGACAGTGCTGAAAAAGGAGACTTATGACTGGTCCTTGAAGTTGTGGTCATTGCAGCATCCCTGCGGTCATGTGATCACGATTTGGGCACTTGGCAACTGGTGCGCATTTATGGCAGCCACAGCGTCCTGTGGTCATGTGATCGCCATTTGTGACCTTCACAGCTGGCTTCCGAAAAGCAAAGTCAGTGGGGAATCCGGCAGGAAGTCACAAGTCGCAGTCATGTGATATCACACTTAAATGACCAGTGATGATTCGCTTAATGATCGCAGCCAGAACCGATGAACTGACATCGTAAGTTGGGTGCAGTCATGTGATGTTTCACTTTATGACCACACTGCTTAGCGGTGGAGTTGCCAGTCCCAATTGTGCTTGGTAAGTAAGGACTACCTGTACTATCTTTATGATATGGACAGTGATTATAAACATGTGGTTTACTGGGCCACTGGTTCCTGTCTGATTCCTCCCCCTGTCGTCACTCAATTTAGCTTGCTGTGAATGTTTTATTACAAGGGAACTTTAAGCAGTTCACATGTGGAGTGGGGGGTACCTTATAGAATTGGTAGTGAATGCAACTCACATATGTGTGGGGGGTACCTTTTACCACCACACTATGATGGAAGGCATGAGTGGGGATGATTCTGGTATGGAGCTTCAAGGTTACAGGGAGGAGGAGTGACATTCCAAGCATCTCCTTAGCCCCCAGCTAGACTGTGTGAAAGTAAGGAGGAAGAGACTGGCCACTCCCTAAGGGCTTAATGGTTATAGTTGCTCTTGTTGGAGAATTAGAGTTAGTCTGGCAAGATTCTGTCTATTAGGTGCAAGCTAATAAAGAAGCTAAGCTGATTTCTGGACTCTCTCGTGTGATTCTTGGGCTGAACCTGACACACACACTGTAACTGTCCATCCACCTTGCTGCTGGTCATTCTCTTTTCTTTCACCTTTCCCAGCATTAGAGCCTTCAGGGAGCGAGGTCTTTGCATAATGTTTCTGAAGTAGGACAATTGGAGCCCGATGATTTGTGCCTTGAGCGAGAACTCTGGGTTGATTTGTTTGATGAC